TCTTCTTCTTGTCTCTCTTCTCTTCTTCTTGTCTCTCTTCTCTTCTTGTCTCTCTTCTCTTCGCTTCGCTTCGCTTCTCTTCTCTTCTCTTCTCTTCTCTTCTCTTCTCTTCTTGTCCCCGGAGGTGTACTGCAGCAAGAACATGGCCCCCTTGAGAACTGTGATTCACATTCCTGCCAAGCTCACCAAAAGGACCTAAAGCTGACCCAAGCCGGAACACCAAGGCATGAGGAGTTCCAGTCAGCGTAATTTCCGTTCAGCAGTCAAGTTGGACAGACTCCGCCAAACTCCACCATTCTCATCTATTCTGTTTTCCTCCAGGCCACTTCCAATAGTCATAGTCTGTCATCTACGCTGCAGATTGTGCAGAGAAACGTCTCAATCAGCATCCATCAACAGTGTTTCCCACTGATGACAAGGAAGCTACACCAAATCGATTCGGAACAACTCGGAAATCTATATATAATTTGTACTATACATGTCCAAGTTTCCTTGACATTTCTCCCTCAACCGCATGTCATGTTGTGCACTGCACTTGGGTTGCTTGCAGCATGTTGACTTGACAACTTGAGCTCTTGACAACGCATCATGGCCATCTTGTCAGCTGTCAGCTATCCCCGAAAACCCCGACCCGACCAACCGCCCGAGCAAAGCGACGGACCCACCAGTCGACCCGCTGGAGACGTCGACGTGTCGCACAGACTCCACCCAGCACCCAGCTCACCCAGGTGCTGCGCCTCTATGAGCGTCGGCCCCGAAGACGGAGGAGAAGCGAAAGCTCCGGGTCTCGGATTTGGGCGGTGGTGTGGTTCCCCAGGTGCGAAGGGTCTGAGGTTGGATGATTGGATGATGGATGTGTTTTCTGCTGTCTATTGGAACTGGGCAAGTAGATGAAGATTATTTTGATGAATTGTTGTTTGGTATTGTTTGGGGTGCCAACTCACAGCACAAGCATGAAAATCTTCAGTGGTAGTATCACACTCCACGAGCATTTTAATTTGTGAGAGAATGACACACTTTTCTGAGAATTATTGCTGTCAACCACCAGTCTACTAGTCCACTGCCCCCTTGTGAGGTTGGCCGATGCGCATGCCCAATTAAGCTGAGTGTCTTGCAGTTTTCGGGACAATTCCACATCCAGCCAAATTCGCCGCTTGAACATCTAATTAGTATGGATTATATAGGTATTTTATCGATTTATTCATTGCGACCGCACAGGTGGCCACGCTAAATCTCCGGACCCAGGGTCAACCGGGTCAACTGGGTCCGGAGATTTGGCGTGGCCACCGGTCAACTGGGTCCACCACCACCACGACGACTACTACTACTGCCACTGACCTCAACTGGGTCAACTGGGTCCGGAGATTTAGCGTAGCCACCGGGTCAACTGGGCCCACCGCTGGGTCCGGAGATTTCGCGTAGCCACAGGGTCAACTGGGCCCACCGCCACCACCACCACCACGACGACGACTACTTCTACCACCACTGGGTCAACTTGGGTCAACTGGGTCAACTGGGGTCAACTGGGTCAACTGGGGTCAACTGGGTCAACTGGGGTCAACTGGGTCCGGAGATATAGCGCGGCCCGGGTCAACTGGGTCAACTAACCCTCAGCTCAACGACGGTCCAGGTGCAAGCCAGGTGGGCTTGTGGAGCAGGGATCAGGTGCTTCGTGTTCGATCGTCACAGTCTATCCACTAAACCACCGACAACTAAGTCAACTCATCCATAGAATTCTGGAACCTGAGTAAGTGACCTGTACTGTATTTTAGATCAACGCCAACCATCGTGGCAACATGGAGCTATAAAGACATGATCTAATCAGTGGAAACCAATCTCAACATCAGACATTCCGTGTAGAGCTTGATTCGGAACCTTACTTGTTCAAGTTCAACATCGGTCTCCATCACAACCTCGGCTGATCCAGCTTGATCCACTTCAGAAGCCAACAGTTGGGGACCGCTTCTTCCCGCGGGTCAAGAGATAGCTCTAGATCTATCGACGACCTGTGAGCAAGCGAGTTGGTGATGTAAAACTACTAAAAGAAAGCTAGAAACCAAGATCAACACAAGACATCTTGTGTTGAGCTTGGTTGGGACTCCCTCTTCCATCGAGTCGACGACCATGGCCGCATAAACAACATTGACATTTAAAAATGCATACTCTAACCATTGGAAACCAAGCTCAACGCCAGGTGTCCCGTGTTGAGGTTGGTTAAAGACTTTTCCTGAGCCAGTTGAGACACTGCCTCCATCAGAACCTCAGTAGAAAACAAACGCATAAACAACAATAATGAGTTGTGAAAACACAATCTAACACATAGAAACCACACTCCACACCAGGCATCCCATGTTGAGGTTGATCGGTGATCTTTCCTGATCCAGTTCAGACAATGCCTCTATCACTACCCAGTAGTAGCAGTGGACCCAGTTCACCCCACTTGACCCGGTTGACCGCTGTTGACCCAGTTGACCCAGTTGACCCCAGTTGACCCCAATGGACCCACTTGACCCAGTTGACACGTAGTAGCAGCAGTCGTGGTGGTCGAATTGACCAGGCGGCCACGCTAAATCTTCGGACCCAGCTGACCCCAGTTGACCCAGTTGACACGTAGTAGTAGCAGTGGTACTGGTCGCAGTGGTTGACTTGACCAGGCGGCCACACTAAATTTCCGGACCCAGTTGACCCAGTTGGTCAATTGGGTCAACTGGGTCAACCCGGTCAACCGGGTCAACTGGGTCAACTGGGACACCCTGTTCAACTGGGTCAACTGGACCACAGATTTAGCGGCCCCCTGTGCCGACGCACTCGATTTTATATATATATATATAATAGGACTTTATAGGTTATACCATTGAGAAGCATCAACACTCCCTCAAAAATCGATCTCCAGCTCTCTCAAAAACCCATGTAACCCGAAGAGCCCTCCGATCCGATCCGCGGCTCGAGACTTCGGCGGCTCGCAGGAGCTCCGTCGTTCGAGGCGCTGCGATCCCTGAGGACTTTCGAGCGGCCTGGGGGCACAGGGGACGAACGCGACGCGGGAGGGAAGCGCGGAGTCAGAGGAAAGAGCGTGGCAAAGGTCTTTGGAGTCTACTGGGTGAGATGTTTGCACCCTGGAATCCACATGGAGGAGTTAGTCTGTCAACATGTCAATGTATCAAGATTTAACAGGTCTTCGCGTGCAGCCCCCCTGCGGATCACAAGTACCACCAAGATCCCGTGTCATGTATGGCATACTATGTCCTAGAGACCCCAATCCTAAGGATGAAGTCACCGATTTACCCATGCCATGGACTATCTTTCTGTCAGCCTCGGAGCCTCGGTAGCCTTGGTTCACTCACTCAGTCGAGGCCGGGGTGATCTTCTACACCATGAATGCGCAAGAGCTCGGTCGTTCTCCCAGAGATCTGCGAGAGTTTTGCCATGGAAGCATGGAGAGATCGGTGGGGAGGTGGGCGAGGTGCCTTGAGTGGAGAGTTTGGAGAGTTTGGGTTTTGAGGCTTCGATTCAACAAACTGGGGCTGGTTCTTGTAAGATCTCGTGCCCATGAAATGATCAATGTAGCTGTAAGATGCTGTAAGCTGTAGCTGATGTGGTTCAAAAATAGGCAAATAGACCGAATAGATGAACAGATGTGGACACTAAGCATTGGCAGCTTCTGATCATGCTGGTTCTGATGCAGTGCCATGATGGGTCAACATGTCGATGCATGGCTGTTTCTTTTTGCCCTGGCAAGCCCTCTGGGGAACAGTCTGATTTGCTTGGGTCGGCGGTCATGGTGGTCATGCATCAATTCAGTCAAAGTTGGGCAGGTGAGGCACCCCTTGCCCCAGCGTTGCGGTGGGTGACATGTGAGCAGCCAGCAAGAAAGCAAGGTATTGGGGTGACAATTTCACTTTGCTCGCAGGTCATCCACTGTATGAGACCCCTCTCACAGGTGTACCCCCGGAAAGAGAAGTGAATCAGCCACCCAAAATAGGAAGCGAAATCGACAGCTATATCCAATTCTCTTGGAGGGTCCCAACTGGTGAGTCCCAACTTTGGTCATTCTGTTGGGCTTTTCGAAGCAGGAATGGACAGGAGTGAGAAGAGCATGGGGAGAAGGTTCAGCCCCAATGATGGCAACTTGAATTCAGAACTGCTTGGAGGTAAGTTGTTGCTGGCGGTGGAAGAGAGGCGAGTGCCTTTGCGAGAATTAGGTACGGGGCCACAGTGTGAGTTGTTTGGATGGGTTATAGCTGCGATGATAGCTGATCTCGGTAGATAGCAGCTTCACTCGTAGGTTCGAGCATGGAGATTTATTAGGTAATCCACCTTCACCCGGCAGTCCAAAAGACACCATGTTTTGTGCAGTTGATTTTCGTATCGTAGGCCTGAAGGGCCGGTGGGCTTCCTCATCCAATCCTCCCCTATCCACTGGAGTCCTAGTGACGCCCCGAACTTGATCTTCTAATGAGCAGAGAGCCCTTGTCCAGTCCATGTCCGACGGGCCCTGCAAGTGTCCCGTCCGACTTCCCGCGCGCGACGCCATGCGACGCATAGTTTTGGGATAAGGCTTTAATGAACCATTGAGTCTGGCACCAGTACAAGATCGGCGATGGTGCGGATGACCACCACGGCCGGTGTACCTTTATGTACCTCTCCAAGTTGAAGACAAGAGTCGCAGTACATAGATTATATAATTGATTTTGTTAATGATGCTTCATGCGACTGATGGCTATGAAGGCACTAAATCTGTCCAACAATAAATCTCATCCCACTCCAAGGCTTGGGCTCGGGCTCTGCGCAAAAGCGTGCCCGGCGAACCCAGTCACAGGGTTTTTCCTTGCCATTGCTATGCTGATGCATTGCTATGGAATTGCCTACCCAAAGTCAAAACCCAATCCAGCTTAGCACATCAAGTTGAGGATGTGTGTACATTGTGAGGACGATGATGTGAAGGTCTCGTATAATTACCGCTGCACAACATGTGTTGACACCTTCGTAGATAACAGGTCCGCGGCGGAATTTCCGATATGTTCAAACCGGTTCAAACTAAGGATTTGCTGCTTGTTCAAAGGATGGCTGTTTTCTGGTCCTTTTTTGAAGGTCAGAAGGTCCTTTTTCGGAGCGATGTCCGAATGTGTACGGGTCCATTTTCGGTCGTTTTGGGAGGGTGACTCGCGGTGACTCGGCGCCGACCTGGACATGGTGTGATCCGCAGATCCGCCGGGTCGGTTTACACGTTCAGGTCGGTGATTGGCCGTGAGGAAGTACAGGGAATCTAAACCACCTCAATGCATTGGTCAATGGACACCTCTTCCCCGCTGGATTCCCAGGTCCTCAGTGCATGTTTTTCTGCACCCTCGATCTAAACACCTGGGAAGATGAACATGGAACCTGATGGCATGGACCTTTGGAGGAACGGGCTTCCTCATCTAAACACGGAAACCGTGGCTTAACCCGCTTCCATGTGGGTACACCGGAACCTGGGAGGATCCCGGTGCATCCGTGGCTGGGTCGGTACTTCTATCAACACAAACGTTTGGGTCGGAGCAGGGCCCATGAATGTTGAACCTTGTGTTGTTGATGTGTGTGTCTAGAGGCAATTTTTGTTTAATCAAATTCTTATCTCAAAAGCTGGCGCCTTTGGAACCTTTGGCTGGCCCCTGTGGAACCTTTCTTCTTGAGGCAAAAAACCATTTTGTGGGATGCGAGTTGCCAGGATGTAGCTTTACCGCTATAAGTTGGACCCTGTGTTGGGCCCCGCTTGGGGGACAAACCGGGCTAATGAGGTTCTACTCTTTCCACAAGGAAAGCGAGAACCGGAAGCCTTGCCCTCAGCTTTTTGGGCCGAAGGTGGAGTTGAGGCGTCGAGTGGTGGAGTTGAGAATGTTGGGTGTGTTTTGGCTGGTTGGGTGTGACGCGGTCTGTGAACCACAAGCAAAAACAGCTTGGAAGGCTGGGCTTGGTTCGGAAAGGTGGCTATTGGCCAAGCTGTACTCGTGTGGCCATTGGCCAAGCTATGTAAATTAATTCATACTGGGCAAGCTCAAGTTGGGTCATTTTGGGCAGCAGGCAGGCACTTGGCCTGTTGGTGTTTAAGACTTGGGACATGTGAGGGGCCGACGCCTCGTTTTGGAACCTGGATTCGTCTCGTTTTGGAACCTAGATTCGTCTCGTTTTGGAACCTAGGAAGTGGTTTCTGGGAAGTGGTTTCTGGGAAGTGGTTTCTGGG